CTCTTATATGGGTGTAAGCCTGGGGTTGTGAATCGAAGCAAGGGGGGGCGGGGCATGGGAAAATCATGGCAATGTGGGGTGAAATATAATGCAAGAAATCATAAAGTGGAAATTAGGGGTGTGGGGTTACAAAAAGCATTTTTCAGAGGGAAAAAAAGAGGTTATTGAGGGATTTGGGCATTTCAGAAAAAAGGAAAAAAGAATGAACCCGGAGGGGGTATAAAAATGAAGTGGAGGGGGGGGAGTGGGGGGTCTTTCCAGGAAAGAATAGGGAGCAGTAAAAAGAGGGTTTTTTGGGGCGGAGCTTTGGGCAAAGCAGGGATTATGACGTGTTAATAGGGGTGAATGGAGACGAATGGTTTTTTGGGGCCTTACGAGCTTTGGAGTGCGAGCGGGAATATTTTTGAAGGGTCAGGGAAAACCTTAGCTGGACTTGAGCCTGGGGTGGAAATACAATCCACACTTTAAAAGAGATTTTTTGATACTGCGTTTGGAGGACATCTAAACTGTCATATTTGAGGCCTCCAAAAACAGTGATTACATTTAAATGGTGAAAGTGTTTCTTTTCTGGGTCACCCTGCTTTGGTGGGGGCTCGACTGTTCAAGCAAACCCCCACACCCACAAACACACACACACACACACACAAATATAACCTACATCATTAATGATCCCAAACATGTGGTTTTTTTAATAAAAACGATACGCGACGTCACACGTGTGCCTCAGCAACATGGTATGTAAATTACAGATGGCTCTTAGGCTAAACTCCAAAATGCCCCGCACTTTTGGACTAGATAATTTTTTTTACCATCCACAACCTGGCCATAACCCCTAACCAGTTTTAAAGGCCTTCATTCCCACAAAACCACCTCGAGGCCCGGCTTTCCTGCTACTGCCCCGTCAATCGAACGTTTATCTATAACCCTCACATTTATCCCCAACAAAAATTAAACACACACTAAATAAAACCCAAACCCGGACACCTGGGGGTAAGCAATACAACAAAAACCCCCCTTTCAAATCACGTACGGATTTTTTTTGAACCCAGGCAAGCTTAAACTCCAGGGCCCGGCATAACCATTTTCCCACTGGCTAAATAAGATTCATCCAACTAGGTAATTTAAACACCTTAGAAAGGTTATCCACGCAGTAATTTGGGACACTGAGAGTTTGATACATTCTGCAGCTCTTGCTTAACTCAAGATTTGACAGATACTGCCAAAAAATTCAGATGAAAAATAGCTCAATATCAGCATGAAAATGGCCACTTTATACCATCTGCAATGGTGGGCTGCACCACCTTTTAAGCAGAGGCCCCCCCCCCCCGTCACAAAAAAAAAAAAAAAAAAAAAAAAATAACCAGCAGCTTTCGAAAAAATTTGAATCAGCCTCCCTCCTTAACACGGAGTTCGTTCCTAAGACCACGTCTAAGTGAATTCTTCCCAAGTGAGGAGCTAGTAAATGGTAGCGGGTTGTATAACCTCTCGATATTGTTTTTAATGTCACCCTTAAAAAACATTTCGTCACATTTTTTTAAAAGTTTAAACAGTGGTTACTGTTATTTTAATAAACAGAAAGAGGGAAAACAGCTCAAATATAAATTATTTTAAATTGCATACGGCAAAGACCCGTCGTAAGTCCAA